GCCGGGATGAGTACGAGCATGCCCCGTCCGTAGGACCCCAGGCATGCCACGCGCCCCGTCCACCGGCTCCCGGCTCGCCGCGCCCCTTCCCCAGGCCGCCCGGATTGTTCCCCCACGACACTCTAAACATACCTCTGAAACATTAAACACTTGCAACATGAAATATTTGAATGCAACAAACGTCTGAAGCGGATGAAACATTTGGAGCATAGACTTGCAATATGTGTTTGAAACATACGCAAACATTCAGATAAAACACTCACAACTTGCAACATGAAAACACTTATTGCAACATAAGATTGAAACTGCTGAAACATTTTGAACATACTCTTGCAACATATATGTGAAACACGTACAACACCCAGATCAAAAAACTCCTGCAACATACATCTGAAACAGATAAAAACATTTTGAACAAACGCTCGCAACAAACCTCTGAAACACTTGCAACATGCCTTTGAAATACTTGCAACATCCCGATCTACTTTTGCAACATACATATGAAACACCTGCAGCATACCTCTGATAACATCTAAAACACTTGGAACATACATTTGCAACATAGGGGGAGGGGGAGGCTAGGGCCGGTTGATTCCAACCTTGGAGTGGGAGCCGACGCTAAGCGGCAGCGCACGAGCACCACCAGCACGGGCCGCGCTGGAGGGTGCCCTTGGCTTGATGGGGACCAACCTGAGGCGCGCGACGGCACCACCAGCGCCAATAGAGGCGGGCAGCGCGCGAGCACCACCAGCACGGGCCGCGCTGGAGGGTGCCCTTGGCTTGATGGGGACCAACCTGAGGCGCGCGACGGCACCACCAGCGCCAATAGAGGCCCGTGCTGGTGGTGCGGGTGGGCGCACGGTGGATGGGACTGTGGGAGCAAGGAGCGAGAGCGCGCAGGTGGGGCACACGACGGGCAGGAGCGAGGAGCGAGGAGCGAGTTGCGCATGATGAGGGCACATGGGAGGAGATGGCCGCTGCGGCGAATGCGGAGTGGGGTAGGTTGACGGCCTCACGACGCTGTGAAGCGTACGATGGACGAGCGAGTAGGAAGATATTTTTGAAAGAGATGGGAGAGACGTACGGAGGAGGAGCCAGGCTTGTTGGGCCGGTAGCACGCGTAGGCCCGGGAAGCGGTGTCCGATCGGACGAACATCCGACCTTGGGTCTATTTTATCTCACTCTATGAATTTAAGACAGGTCTATATCTAAACTTTGGGAAATTAAATGTCATATTTCAAGCCAAATATCCTAGTCCACAAAAGTATATTACAATTTCTCCAAAATGAAATTATCCAAATGAGCGTTAGAGATTCTTTCATAAATTCAATCAGAATGAATTTTATTCAAAACTACAAATTTCAATTGCCAGAGGACTAGAAAACTTATATTGCTAATGGCGCGACTAATTGTATCTCCATGTGGCCATGTATGTTTTCTATCAAGTGGAAGGAATAAAGAGAAAAATGAAATCCTATCAACCTCGTCCTGATCAGAAGTTCAGAACAGTCCAAAACATAACATGTATTCACACCATCCTGTTATGCAGCATCCTTTTCCTGACTAAAAAGTGCTGGGCCGTGTGTGCACAAGTCATTAGGAGCGACCGAGGGAGTGAGAGAGACGGTTACCGTACGGTAAGACACCACTTTGATGCTTAACCTATATGTTAATCGAAACACCTCCGTCAAGATGAAACCAATAATTTTCGTACTCTCTGGTTTATGCTCCTGCCTCTTCTTTAAAAAAAAAACACGTTGGTCCCCATTATATCCGTCTCGCGGACGAGTCTCCTCGTAGCTGGTCACTGTCACGTGAACGGGATGAAAAGAAAATTTTCGTCCTGTTTTCTATTGTCCGTGTTTCTGTATTTGCGGGATCTCTTGTTTGTGTAGTATAAGAGAAAACAGAAAAAGGGGTTTCTGGCCGTTTTACGGAAACCAGTTTTCATCCGGAATGGACTAATATTTATCATGTTTTCAATTTATGCAGGATATACCTAACAATTATATGTCCTACTAACCACCAATTATGCATGTTAGTGTGTTGACACACATAGCATGCAAGTGAATATATTATATCGATCCTCATATGTGTATAATGGTATATGGCTTTATACATGCATAGTTGAAAATATTAAATCATGTGATTTTAACTTATTTTTTTAGCTCTCGTTGCATACTTGTCTATTTCCGCATGTCCCTATATCCCAATTTAGTTTTCGATCCGGACTTTTCCGATCCATACTCAGTCCTATTTTTGTCGAAGAAATATAGAGATGGCGACGGAGAGGGGTTTTCTCCATTTCCATCTATTTTCATCCTCATGGATCTGGTTATAGGCTTGCCTACTGTTAACTATAGCTATAGATAACTTAACTATAAAGGGACTGTTCCTGTCTCCTCTGGTCTGGTGTGGTGGTCGAGCTTGATAGCACGATGGTTACCATTATTCCGGAGTTTGTGTGCTACACTCGTGGGTTATGCTTGTTTAGTATAGATACATGTGCCACAGTTGCGAGATGCACTAAAACAAAAAAACAATAGACGTCCATCTCATGTAGAATCCTATATGGTTGTGAGGGTGACCATGATTTTAGTTCAGTCACGGTATACTCAATGTTATAGATGGTCAAAGGGGTCTGGTCTAATGGACAACACAAGGCACAACCCTATTAAACACTGAACCCTTGAAGACCTAGTACTATTTCTATCAGGCTCATGCTAGCCCAGCCCAAGCAAAAGGTTGTCCCTTGACTGCTCTTTCATCCTGCAACCCTGGCACATACACGGCACTATTAATGGTAAGGCCGCTAAGGGCCCGATCCCTTCCTCCTTCCCAAGCGAACATGCACCCTATCTTCTGTAAAAAGCCGTTAGCGTCGGGCATATATAAGTCGGTACCACACCCACACTCACTCCATCCCCGTCCCAAAAACTGGCCATTTTCACCCCTCTCTTCACCAAAGTCATCACCTCTCCCTTGCCTCCCTGGCTCCTCTAGTCTTTCCCATCTATGGTGGACAACTCGACAGATCTCTGATATCTGCAGCCACTATGCCCTATTGTTCATCTATTTTACCATTCCACTATAGTCAAACTCCTGAAAAAAATCAAGCTTTAAAAAAAATTATACATGTTTGATGAAGTGTTCATCTAGGGAAAAGAGGTGCATGTTTTCCCAATCTAATTTAATCATGGGTTGGATACTTAGACTATGCATTTCATACCAATAATACATCTGACTTACCTCTTATGACTTTTGACTGATTATCACATAATCTAGTAATTATTTGCCTAAAACTATATATAAATGATAATATTGTATAAGGCCCCATTTAGTACGGCTCCAGAAGCCGTTATTTTTTGCTTTAGCTCCATGAACAGCCTAGTCAAGCCCCTTCTCTCGAGTTTCCTTATTTTGTTTTAAGTGAATTTTATTAAAGAAAATATTAATTTCCAAAATTAAATGCTATGGAAATTAACCTACGCACTTATATAAATAAAATTGAGAAAATAAAACTTTTATAGGTAAGTAATGCATTATAACATGTCATTTTTCATGAAAATAAATGTTATGTAAAAATTATAACACCATAAATATCCAAACTTTACCACAATAGGTAAGTAGTGTTGGTGAATTTCGTAGGATTTTTTGAGAAATTATAAATATATTAAAAACATATTTTGGATATCTAGAATAAAATTCTGATGCCAAATTAAATACGAAAATCTCAGTCTTATCTGGGCTCAATCTTCTAGGCCCTGGCGAAGCTAGCCTGCTCTGGTTGTGTCCCAAGTTTACCTGATAATTTCAGGCTTGCTCCAGATTTGAAGCCCACGTTCCTTTTTTAAAAAAATAAACAAATAACCCAACTTCTAAAATTCATATATGACACATCAAACTCCGATTGACTTAGTTAATTTTCCTAAATTCATATAAATTCAAGATAAACCACTTATATATTTTTTGCGAAATAATATTTTATGAGGATTTATATGTATTTTTACCATTTATTGGAATTACTTCCTGTTAGAACAACATGTACTACAAAAAATCTTTAAATAAATTATAAAGAAATATTTATAAATATATGAGTAAATTTTTAAATTTCAATACGATAGACAAATTTGGACGGATAGTTCAAATGTTTTATAGTTGGTTTATAATTTTTTAAACTTAATAATACCCAAATTTCTTTGAAATTACAAAATTTGGTAGGGAATCAAACCACTTCCCCACGACATCATAAAAGTTACATGAAGAAAAACAAAAGGAGTTCATCATTTCCTTCATTCGCATTCATTTCATAGCACGAGGTCCTAATCTTCTTTCTACTAAGTACTATCTAGCAAGTTTTAAAGTGGCTAATAGTTAGCTTCACATTTTTTGCATGTAAAAATTATTTAGAATTGATTCAATATGTTTGTTTGCATAAATAATTTTATTACAATTTTTTGGAAATAATTTAATTATGTGGAGGTCGTGCATCTTTTAATGTTGATCTAGAGTTGTCCTTTCTCCTCCATCTAATGGCGTGGAGACGACTGCCTCGGTGGTGTCTGCCCGAGCGGTCGACGATCTATTTGCGACAACAAAATTGGATTTTTCATTTTATAATTTTTTTGTGATTTACTATGATTTTCAAAGATTCAGCCAAAATAAATAAAAAATAAAAAGACAAAACCGCCTTTGAAAACCGCTTATAACCGGTCAGGGAGGTAAAACAAATAGTTTTAAAAGTTTAGAGAAGTGGTTTATCTGGTTTGAGAGTTCAGAGAGAAAAAGGTATACTTTTGTAAAAATTGAGGAGGTAACGTGGACTTTTCCCTCGGAAATACCTCAATGTGCAAATTCTCTCTGGGCCAGGCCAATTGGACGGTGAACTGGCCCGAGCGAAACCCACGCATTCTTCTCCTCCTCCCGCTCCGGCCCAATCCGTTCACACGTCCACCTCTCTCTCTCTCTCTCTCTCTCTCTCTCTCTGCGTCGCCGTTGAGATGCTTCGTGGCTCCGCCGCCCTCCTCCGCCGCCTCGCCCCTCATGTCTCGGGCGGTGGCTGCGGAAACACCACTCACCGGCGCCTCCCTGCTCCCATCGCTTCCTTCCTCCACGCCCGCTTCTTGTCTGCCCCGACCACCTCTTCCTCGCCGTCTTCTTCGTCCTCAGCTTTCGGCCACGACGAGGAGGCGGAGGACAGAGAGCTCCCAGAGATCTCCAATGGTGATGCAGGCGCTTCTCTCAGCATCTCCGTGGACCGCTCCGGCCTCTACAACCCTCCAGGTCCGCTCCGTCCACCTCTTCTCTTTCACGAGCACTGGTGTCTGTTTGGGGTTTCTGATAGTAGGCGTTGTGCCAAAATGTGGCAGAGCACTCGCACGAGCCGTCGTCGGACTCCGAGCTCGTCAAGCACATCAAGAGCATCATAAAGGTGCCAGCTTCTGTTTCTATGTTAGACTCTGTTGCTCGCATTGGGGAAATGTTAATTATCCATTTCGATGTGATTATGGTGGCGTTAGTTTCGGAGTGGGCCAATCAGCATAGCCGAATACATGGAGGAGGTGCTGACGAACCCACAGTCAGGATTCTATATCAACCGTGATGTGTTTGGGGAATCAGGGGATTTCATCACCTCGCCGGAGGTCAGCCAGATGTTTGGAGAGGTAAAACTAATTATCACTAATCAATTGCTTTGTCAACACTATTGTGAAGAACATTGCGCTGTGCTGTATTTTGTTACTTAATCACGATCCAGTAATGAACTGTGTGTTTCAAGTATAACGTTGCGACCATAAGATGTGCTCTCTCTTTTTTTCAAACCAACGAAGCATTAATGAGATTCATGTACCAATTGTGCTGCTATTGCATTTCTTTGGCACAGATGATTGGCGTATGGGCAATGTGCCTCTTGGAGCAAATGGGAAAACCAGCAAAGGTGAATCTGATCGAGCTTGGCCCGGGACGAGGAACACTCTTGGCTGATTTACTCAGGGTATGTTTTATTGCTAGCTTCTATCATGCATTGAAGTTTCATTGTGTTGTTCTTACTTCTTAGTGGTTGCCTTATTTCAACAGGCCTCAGCAAAGTTTGTTGACTTCACCAAGGCACTCAGCATTAACTTAGTCGAGTGTAGCCCTACATTGCAAAAAATCCAGTATAATACTCTGAAATGTGAAGATGAACCTGTTGATGATGGCAAGAGAACAGTTAGCAAGCTTTGTGGAGCCCCCGTTTGTTGGCATGCCTCCCTCGAACAGGTTCCTTCAGGATGTATGAGGCTCTTTTCATTTCGAACTGTCTCTTTCACCTCAACCTTTTGGTTTTGAATTAATGATCTCTATAGAAGTTGATATTGTTATAAACACTTGTATAATTGACTTCTACACAACCATTCATCTAAAGGTATATTGGGTGAAAAATTCGAGGCCATTTACGAAATGAGATTAGTGACAATTTTAGGGTCTGCTTATTTAATCAGAGTCAGTCGATTCCCTAGCTATAGTTAATATGAAAAATCCCAAGTAGGTAATTCAAACACGCCCAGACACCCATACATATTTTATTGGGGTATGGAATCTGCCGTCATATATGACAAGGAGCAGCAGTATTGGTTTATGAAACTACGGTTTTACTTTTCTAAGGACTACCGACAATAACAGCTATTTGCCTCAACTTAAAGGGGCGTACCTAGTGCAAAAAGCTCCCGCTCTGTGCGGGTGTCTGGGGAAAGGTATCAGTGGCAAGCCTTACCCTCGCCTGTGCTATACTGTTAACGAATTCAGTTTTGATGGGAGTAAACTTAACCCACTCTTGTAGTTGTAGGTAAAGGTAAAATTGAGACTTGAATGCAAGTGTTGGTACACCTTGTCACTGGTCTAAAGCATCTACCTTGCCATTGCTGATCGGCTAGTTTAATTACTTCATGCATGGAATATGAATAATTGTTCAACCTGATGATGGTCTAAGCCCTTTGTATCAAGTATCGGACAGTGTTCCATTTTGAAACTGTTTAAGTTCGTGTATTTGCCTTTTGTCAACTTCGTTTCTTTTTAAACTTCTTGATTGGGGGCTTTTATGTTTCTCATATTTGTAACTATCTTATATGCAGCACCAACCATAATCATTGCACATGAATTCTATGATGCCTTACCGATCCATCAGTTTCAGGTTTGTTCCCATGATTAATTACCACAAGTTCTTGTTGTGCTTATCCATTCACCAACTGAGTTTATAGTCATTGCGCTGAACAATCCTTCTCTCTCTTTTTGCAGAAAGCATCACGTGGCTGGTGCGAAAAGATGGTGGATCTTGCAGAAGATTCCTCGTAAGCTTTACAAGTTACATTTATGTACTTTTAACCGTAAGGAAATGTGTAATGCTTACTTTGCAGCAGGTTTCGGTTTGTTCTATCTCCCCATCCCACACCCTCTTTAATTTACCTCGCCAAGCGTTGTGGTTGGGCTAGCTCTGAGGAGCTTGAGAAGATTGAGCATATTGAAGTCTGCCCCAAAGCGATGGAGCTTACTGAACAAATTGCAGATAGAATTAGTTCGGATGGCGGAGGTGCTCTTATTATTGACTATGGAAAAAACGGAATAGTATCTGATAGTCTCCAGGTTTGGATTTTAAATCACTTCACTGTATCTAAAGTAAACTCAAAATGTTGCCTGTTTAGTACTACTGTAACATAAATTCTTGAAGCCTAGTAGCTAGTCTTTGTTGATTTCGTAGGCACATGCTCTCACAATCACAAAAAAAAATGCTGATGATGTGAATATTTTACAATACTTACTGTGGGTACATGGAAAATGGTATTTGAAGACAATATTGTGATTTTAATAGATTGTGTAAATATAGTGCATTAGTAAATGATCAAAGTTGTGCTTTGGGGACTGTTGATTCATAAAGCACTACTTTTTGGAGACTGGAAAGAGTAATAGCTACATTCAAGGTCCTGAACTTATGCATTATTTGGCACATAGAGAGCTAGCCTTATGGAGTTTTTTGGTTGACATATCTTGTATGATAGCAAATAGCTATTGTTCTGGATGAATGGTTTGGGCACTAAGTAAACTATAATAAATGCAGGCCATCCGTAAACACAAGTTTGTCGACATATTAGATGATCCTGGCTCTGCTGATTTGAGTGCCTATGTTGATTTTGCTTCAATCAAGCACTCTGCTGAGGAAGCTTCAGGTCTGCACTGGCGCTATTAACTCGTGGCTATAGTTTTTGTTGGCAACATTACCAGTTCTTACATGAGATTACCTCATAACTTGTGCAGATGACATCTCAGTCCATGGGCCAATGACTCAATCCCAGTTCTTGGGTTCTCTTGGCATCAACTTCAGGGTAGAAGCTCTCCTGCAGAATTGCACCGAGGAGCAGGCCGAATCATTGCGAACGGGCTACTGGCGACTAGTTGGAGATGGGGAAGCCCCATTCTGGGAAGGCCCTGAGGACCAGACACCAATTGGAATGGGCACCAGGTACTTGGCCATGGCCATTGTCAATAAAAAGCAGGGCACGCCCATTCCATTCGAATGAAAACTCAGGCATAGCTTTCCTCTTCCCCCACAAGTGACAAATAAGCGTACCGTGTTGTAACTCCTGTCCTATAGCATTGTTGAGGGATTTTGATGATCAAACCAGGCAAGGACATTTTTTGCTCTGCTTTCTCCTATACATGCAAAAACATGGCCTCATGACAATGTACGCTACTTTCTTTTGTGAGGTAATAAAGATGTGTTGTACCTACTCGCCCGAAGCCATTCATAACTGTGTTGACATTTTGCCATTACAATGTTTCCTCTCTTGTCAAAATGTGCCTCTGTATGTCAGCGTCTGCTATCATTCAAAATGTGAGCAGCCTTGAGAAAGAAGCGTGTCGTGTCGTGCATCTGTTGGCCTGCAGAGTCAGCCTGTTTAGATGGTAATTAGACAGTCGTACTCCACTACATGATGATGGCCTCTGTTTCGGAGCTTTGCTGCTGCCTTTTTCCCGGCTGGTCTTCAAGGGGACAATATATTAGCATTGACCCTTTTACCCGTGCAACGCGGCAGCTTAGATTACCTTGTACGATCATTTGATTTGAGTAAAGCATTTGGCGTGCGTCATTGCATACATATCAACTATCAAGCAAGTAAAGCATTTGGCGTGCGTCATTGCATACATATCAACTATCAAGCAAGTAAGCTACCCGTTCGAGCCATATGGTCAAAAATGCATATACTAAATTGAATGCGTTTCAAAGTATGCCAATTTCCAGTCAATTAAGTATTTATCCGATACCAACTACGCATACTCTTTGACATCATGGTACCAAAGCCACCGTAAAACGAAACAACAAAAGAAAAATACTGGTATCGTAGACTTCGATTGGAAAACTGGAAAGTCTATCTGCCGTCTATTACCGACGAATCACTCAATGGCCAGCCGGTAATACATGCAGGTGTCGGAATGAATCCGTCTACAATACATGGAGCCTGTCCTGTCCTGTCGTCGGTAAGATGGGAAGAGACGCAGCAATTATTTGACAAAATGCAGATGAAAGCCGAGGAGGGGAAAAGGGACCAGAAAACGGCCTGAAACCGTCCAAGGCCGGAAAGAAAGAGCATCAACTGAACCGTCTCACTGGAATGTTATTATATGCTGAACGTCATGACTTGGGTGAAGCATTGTTCTTAGTTGTTCGCCTAAGCAACCCCACGTGTGATGCTGTGGCCCCACGAGGAAACTGCTGCATTCTCTCCTTTCCCTTGCTTTGCTTTGCTTTCACATCCACGAGAAGACTAATGATAATTGATGACATTAATTACTGCAAAGATGACGCCATCAGTGACCATTTGCTATCCGGAGTAGGGATACCTATGTACTACCTCTGTCCTAGAAAAAAATACAACTATAGATTGTGTGCCATGAAAAGTGGTTCACGTTTGACCAGATTTTTAGTAAATAATATTCAAAGTTATGTCTTTAAATTAATTTATTATGAAAATACATTTCATAATTAATCCGATGTATTTATTTGGTATCATAAACATAGATATTTTTTTATTTATAATTGGTCAAACTTAAGATACTAAAATATGACACTATGCTAGAATTGTATTTTTTTGGGGACGGAGGTTGTACAAGCGAATTCGCCGTGAACTCAAGTGTTTACCACTTATTAACTAGTCAATAGATTCATGGGCTAGCACGCTTCTATATACCGTTGTAAAACATACGGACTCTATCTAAAAGGAAAGGAGAAGATGGAATTCTAATACTAGTCTATTTGTACGTGGGCTCTTACCAAACTCTTAGACCTTTGATAGGATTACATATATATGAGGGAGTTCTATATTGTAATCATCAATATTCAGAGAAATAAATAATAGTCTCCATATCTCTTGTGTCTATATATTCTACTTTCATCTACTATGTTGGTCATGAGAGACGAAGAGGGAAAGATCCTAACCACTGGCAACATGTTTTATAACACGTTATCAGCATGATAAGATCTTCGTCGACATCGCCGGTGAAGCCGTCGTCGATCTTTGATGCCAGCGCTTGTACCGTCGACATCCCGCCGCGACTACTTCGACGACGTCGATATCTTCGACGTTGTTAGCGGAACGGGTCTGCTACCTCTGCAACTAATCTACGCTGCGTCGATATGCACAGTTGCCGTCAAGCAGACAGTTCTACGACAATACCAAACGCCCTACGCGGTATGTATATGCTAATCACTACCCTACGCGGTATGTGAGGTAGATCAAATTGGTATCCTTAATAAGGTATGAAAGAATCGCATCTTGCAGATTGCATCGGCCCCGACCATCGGGCTATTTTCTTATTTGCATTTTTCTACATGAAGTAGATACAAGTACAAGAAGTACATGCATAAGTATATACAGTTTTTGCATCTACATGAGTTGCATCTAGGGTCTAATTAAGAAAAAAAATAACATTCAAATTTGCTTGTTGGTTTCATCTACCAAAATGCAAACAGTTGCATTTTCTCTCACAAAACCAAAGTCTAACCAAGAAAAAATCGACCAGTAACAGTTATCTAGTTACTGGCTTGGACGCCATGAATCGAAGAGCAATGGCATGAACAAACAGAAGCCATGCAAACGCCAGCCTTCCTGCAGGAAAGAAAGAGCAGCAGCTCATCAATGATTCGCCACCGTAGCTGTCCGGCCTGCGTGCCCACGTTCCACGTATTGGCCTGCATGCCGCCACTGAGCGCCGCCACGGCCTCCCCGCCATGTGGCTTGCACGCCACGAATCTATCCAGCACTCGACTCTTCCTCATATTGCTGCGTATCGATTACCGCACGCCGCTGACCGCTCACCTCGGACTGAATCCCGTTGATGAGGACATAGCCCACAAGCTATAAGCAGCATCATGCGTCTGCTTGCCAACCAGCCTGCACGACCACAATAGCCATCCATGGTTGGTACGCCGTACACCATCGGAGCCCATGTCTCCGCACCTGCCACCGTAAGATGGACCTGCACGTCTAGGCTTCGGTGCCCCGCTGCCGCCGCCGTGGTTAGCAGGAAGAAGAAGCCAAGAAGGCTACGGGCGGCCGTCAGGACTCAGAACTCAGGAAGAGAAAAGCTACGGATCAAGAAGAATTTCTAGTATGAGATCCCTGAAGGATTTTGGACCGTGTACGAGAATATGGGTCCAATTAAAAGGAATTGGGCCGCGGAAAAATTTCATAAAACCCAGCAATATTAAGAAAGAGTTCGATAAATCTGAAATTTATGAACAAGACCTCGATTCTTGCAGAATTGATCATTACTCAAGTATTCTGGCAGAATAATGCCTATTTTTCTAGTAACTATGAACTGATGGTATTTTCGAATAGAAACTCTTGGAAATTTCAGTTTTAAAGCAATTTTCTGATTAATTAACCTAGACCCTCTGTTTATGCATATTTACTATATTTTCTTATACCCGCATGTATACGACATTAAATTTGCAGTTTAATTGTTGTTTTGCCTAGCTTTAATTTTTCTGAATCAAATAGTAGATTAATTCTGAAAATTGCTACGTTTTGAATTTAATTCTGAAAAATGCTAGTGCAATCCCATTATGAATTATATACCATGTAATTGCAAGAATAAAATCTTGAATGATTACAGTAGAAACATGGTATAAGGTGTATGGGCTCTCTAAATCCTACAGACCTTAGACTTATCATCTTGTAGAGGCTCATATTTATTTTTTCTAGCGTAATAAATTTTTGGGGTGAATGAATGGTTGGTATTAATTCTGAAAATTTGCATATACCATAATCCTAAAAATATTAGGATGCTTCTAAGAGTATTTTGTATAACCATCCGCTATCTTTTTGCACTCTGCCACTTGTTTACATGTAGTAAACTCACACGCACATGAAGATTCCAATAATAATAATATATGCATACCTTCATGAAGAAAGAATATTCTGAACTTGTCCTGAATGGTAGAATTATATAGCACATGGTTATTTATTAAATTCTAGTAGGATATTCTACTACCACTTAAGTGGAGTAGACCTTAAGCTTTATAGTTCCTAATATTACTCTCAAAGAATGAGTATGTGACCAAGCTAAATCCTAAAGGTCTTATGGGACTCACTGCATGAGAAATTCTAGAAGATATCCTATATTGTGATGATGGTATAATGTTAGGAATATTGGAAATTGAATTTTCAAGCTTATAAGACCATATGGGATATAAATGCTACTCTATAAACAAATACAATTAGCTTAAAGCTTGTGTTAAAAGTCATAGAAGACGAGAGGATAAAGACGAATTTGTCTAATTCCAGAAGAAATATTTCTTAAAATAGAAGATCAAGAGCATTGAAATACTAGAAGTATCCAATATCATCCAGAATTACTCAATATCAAGCAGAAATTGAGTCAGAATTTTTAGATAGCTCTATAAATCAGAATATGTGACTTGCATATATTATACTCCTAGAAGGATCGAGCAAGCATGAAGCTGCTAAATGTCAAGCATTGAAGCTAAGACATGTAAGAATAGATAGAAAATAGAACATTTAAAGTTTCTCTTGAAAAACTTAAATCATGTGCTTATAGATTTGTTGCTTTTGAAATTCATATCCTGAAGTATTGATAGTAGTGGTGGTGGTACTTTAAGTTTTAATTCCCGTTGAATTAAGTGGATTATGTAAACTCGTACAAGAGTTAATGGTTACTTTATTAGCTTGAAGACTAATATGAAGTTCTTAGTTGCAATTTTTACTTGTAGTAATATATGTTAATTTTGCATTGAATGAATTAGATTTATATGTTTTACATATAAACAATTGCCTATTGCCTATCTAAACAAATTTTGCATTAATTTTATCCACAAAGAAGCCTCAATTAACTATGAATGTTATAGTTCTTTGTGCACTACTACCATGTAGGTAGAAAGAAAACTGAATTTCCTAAAAGCACATGAATAATTGGACTATACTGACATATGAACTGATCTTAGAAGGATCTATTTAGCCAAGAAATTATATAATCCTAAAACTAAGTATCTAATACTTTA